CTCAAAATCTTTACGTGATGGAAAATTTTTGATGTTGAGGTCGCAGTCAGGATGCTTTAAACTCACATGTATAGCCATTATAATATCAGTCACAATTTTTTTTCTTATTTGTTGGCTAGGGTAATTATCTATTATAACTGTTCTATTCTTAAGTTTCAAAGATCTTCATTTTAAGTTTTAGAACTCTTTCAATTGGAAAACTGCGTTTATGTGGAATAAAGTTTCTGAGAAAGTTTTTCCAAATGAACTTAATTTTCAGCAGTTCAAATCACTACTTTTGCAAGGACACCGCTCTTAGAGCGACTTGAAGATTTTCCTGTAGTGCTTGTGTTTTGTCCATGAAAAAAAAAGTATATTATTATTAAACCATGATGTACTTTATTGTTATCAATGCCGAATGTTTATCAGATATCCTTAATCAATATTAAAATTTTTCAGACAGTATGATTTGAGGGAACCACATGAATGTACAATGACCAACACAAAAGTTTTGTTGGATTTGAGCAGCAATTTTGGTGAAGTAATTCCACGACGTTTCGATTGTTAGTATCCACAATCGTCTGTGGGTGATAATTGGACTTATTCCTTCGAGATCTGACTATTTATCGGTCATTCGACTGCTTTCGCCTGTCCCCTCTCCCCGCTTCATTGGTTTTTAGCGGGAACTGACCGTTTGGCGGGAGTTGGTCGTGTTCTACTCGATTAGAGGTTTCCATATCTTACATATCTCTAAGCTAGTTTGGCTAAATGCTTATTTGTAAAATGAGGCTTTCTCATTTTCTGTTGCAGAATCAAATGGTATGATCTTTTACACATAAAAACAGTGCGAACCGCTACTCATTTTATTCAAGTGAGCTAAGGTCATCATATGTTTGGGCATCGAACAGTTTTAATTAATGGTCTAGAACATTAACTAGCTACTATAGTCCATTCAGATAATTAATTCTAAGCTAGAATTGAGTACCTTAAAAGGGCAAATATAATAATTGTTTATATATAATTTGTTTCAAAAATTTCTTTGGGAAATGAAGAGTTTTGAATTCATGAACACATATCATTTTGTAGAAAGGTGATTACTTTTAACATTTTAATAACTATTAAAATTGAGTCCAGTTTTATCCATGTAAAACACCGGACGTGAACCACAGAACAGAAATAATCATACTAGGTTTACCCGAATGAGTTGACATTTTGTAATTTTTCTCTTCGTCTCATAAAATCAGGTTTAAAAAATCTGTTTAAAATCTGTTTTTTCCGTTAACCAGCTGTCGCACCCCTACGAACGACAACCCTCAGAAGTCGAAACTTGTGCGGGCTAAGTATTAACGAGGTCTTACCTTTTAATGTGTGATTCCTAACGCGGGTTGGACGATAGCAAGTAAAGATCGATCATTCAGACTAGGGCTTGAACCACCGACCAACACGTCAGTCAATTCGAGTGAGTGAACAAAGCACCCACGCCGAACCGCTTGGCTACCGACCACTTTGTGTGCGCTTTGTGGTTTAACCATGTAGTTTTTGAAACAGTTTTATCAAAATCAGACCTTCATAGAAATTTACATCACACAAATGAAAATTCACTTGTGCTGCAAAATGCTGCTCTTTGTGTTGAAATGAATATTATATAGGAAGAATTATAAATGATAATATCCGTGTTTGCCAATT